CCATAATATATCAAACACTTTCCATGGCTCAGTGTCTAACTCCAGAAAGTTTCAGTCTATCCTCTGAAAGCTCAAATTAGAAAAAAGATTTCTTCATTTATGCATTTCAATAACGCCCCATAAGGAGATTGAGAAAGTAGAGGTTAGATTTGTTATATTTGTTATGGGAAATAAAACTAACCCACTTTTACAGAACTTTGCTTCTTATCTTTGTTATGGGAAATAAAGCTGACCACTTCTACAGAACTTTGCTTTTATACACAAAAACCATAAAGATGATTTTGTCAGGGTGCTGATCAGTTTCTATGAGTATTTTATTTCCAAGAACAATATATTTTACGAGAAAATCAGTTTTCATGTTAAAGTTCAAAGTTCCAGAAGTTGAGCGGGTTTTTATTTTTTATTTCTGTAAGAGCTGTATGCAAGGTGGCAAAAAGCAGTGATTTAAGGATCTAAAAGAAAACTGTATCAGAGGTAAAGCAGTGATAAATACTTTGACCTAAGAATAAAACAGCAAGTATAGACAAATCACTCTCTAGTCAAAATGGTAAGGCATTCTGAAATGTTCAAGGCCAAAATATAACACAGTAATTACAAAAAATTAATAAGAAAAGGATCTTAGTAAACAAAAATATTAAAGGGGAAAAAATCATAATCTATCAAAACTGTAACTAGAAAATTTCCAGACTTTTCACTAAAGGAGACTCATGGAATACCTAAAATCTTTGAGACATTGTTTGTCTGTAACTCCAAATTTGCATGGCCAATAGTGAAGAATGCTGGGAGTTGTATTCAGCAAAGTGTGAAAAACTATCTGGAATTATAAATGCAAGATATGGAAAAGGCCACTTTTTGGCTGGAGCTCTATATTTTAAGTGTGAAAAACTGGGACACTTTGTAATGGTTTGCATAATGACAATCATGGATCCATATTTTTTCTGGAACCTAGTGCTTGATTGGTGGATCCAGTAGGGAAGATAAAAATAAACTAGCGTCAAATCCAATTAGTTTTTAATTGATGCAGATGCTAGATGAGAGTAATAGCAGAATATACTTTTTTTTAAATCTTGATCCAACTCCTATGCTGAAATTCCCTGATGGTAGCTTGAACACTTTTGATCTGTTGAGGACAATTGTTTGATTATGGAATGCAAATGTCTCTGCTCATATTAATGCCACACAGATATTTGTTATTTCTTAAACATCCTTCTCTATAGAGCAAACGTCTGTTTTACCCATCATCTTTTCAGGGTGCTTGAGAGATTCTTTCAAAATTCTCTTGAGGGTATTTTTAAGTTAACTGTTAAAAATGATAAATGTGGTTGAGATGTATTTTATTTGGTAAGTTTTCTCTCTTTGTCTTTTGATTTGTTATTTTGTTTTTGATCCAACTTCTTTTCATTACTCCATGGATACTCATATTTCTTGGACTGGAAAAAAATGGGAAGAGTTCCCTCCTATCTTCTCTCAGGATTTAACTAACGCACAAGAAGCAAGAAAAACTGCAGGCTTCAGATAACTGACTTCTGGCAGGTAATGCTAAGAAAGAAGGACATCTTTCTTGTAACTAAATAAGTGTCGGTCTTCACCCATGACAATATCACCAAAATTCTCTTCTCCTCTGAAAGAATGTCTAAAAAATATATTACACTAAATTGTATGAGAATTCATAGAAAATAATACAAGGGTAGTGTTTTGGGGGGTCTCCAATGGTATTAGATTGCAATACCTTTCACAAATACTGGTGAACAAAGAAACAAGTAGAGAAGATGATTTTTTCAACTTATGCAGAAGTACTCTTCATGTAAAGTATAATACAACACTTTGCACTGATACAATAATACATGAATTATATATGCTAAACACGTTACAGACAGCACGTTTTGCAGTTATGGTGACAATGTTTCCCTTTCTACAGCTGCAGATTTTAATGTATCATCATTCTAGGTAATACTTGATTCAAACACATGTTACTCTGGAGAACTTTTGCAAGAATGCAAAAAGAGTCCACTGAATTAAAGGCCCTTTTATTCCCACAGTGGCAAGCCAGGTTTCAGCAAAACAGGTGGAATACTAGCATAAAAGTATTTTCCCCCTCATGTGTATCAGCCTTTAATACTGAAAGGCTTGCTACCTCCTACCCTTGACTATACCCTGAATACAGTGGTGGGATTCAGCCGGTTTGCACCAGTTTGGTAGAACCAGTAGCTAAATTTTGCTGCATTCGGAGAATCAGTTGGTTTCCAGAAGTCCAATCTAGGCCTCGGAGACCTGGAGAAGGCCTCCCAGGCCTAGAACAGCCCATTGGAAGTGCGTGGATGCCACTTCTGGAAGTCCATTCTAGGCCTCGGACACCTCTCAGGCCTACAACGATGCACCAAAAGGGCATGGATGCCACTTCCGGAAGTCCATTCTAGGTCTCGGAGGCCAAGACCTGCATCAAATAAGAGAATCGGTTGTTCAGGTATTTGAATTCCACCATTGACTGAATACATATTGCATTGCTGGCTTTATTCCTTATGGATTTTTTTTCAAAATCCTTTTTAAAGTTGCTTAACTTTATCACTGTTATTGCATTTTCCAGTAGCAAATTCTACTTTTCTTAATTTTTTGCCAGCCACTTCAAAGAATGAATTTGACAATGGTACTATAGGGCAAGCTGCTGGGGGAGTCCACATTTTGTGCATTGTCCATAATTTTATAAATAGTTTCCCATGCACTGTATATTTTCTCAACTGAAAGACCCAATACTGAAAAACATCTTAAAGAAGAGTTTCTACATTTCCCTATTTCCCTATTTTATGTCCTTTCTGTTGAGCATACATGTATGTATGTAAGTATGTATGTAGTAATATAGTCAATACAATAAGTAAAAATGATCAAATCAAAAAGTGAATAACAACCAGAATACTGACAATAATTAATAAAAATAGTCAACCAATATGAGCATTCATTTTCCAAAGGCCCTGTGAAAAAGTTCAGATTTCTTTGTCTTCCAGAGATCCAGCCTAGATTCAAAATCAGCTATTCCAAAGAATTAGCATCAGGATGAAAAAAACATTTTCTGGCATCATCTAACATGCATCATCTAACTGGGAAACCAATCAGAATCAATCAGAACAGAGCTGGAAGGGACCTTGGATGTCTTCTAGCCCAACTCCATGTTCAAGCAGGAGACCCTATACTATTTTAAACAAGTGGCTGTCAAGTCTCTTTTTAAAAACTTCCAGTGATGAAGCACCCATAACTTCTGAAGGCAAGCTGTTCCACTGGTTAATTGTTCTCATTGTTAGGAAGTTTCTCCTTAATTCCAGGTTGCTTTTCTCCTTGAATAATTTCCATCCATTGTTTCTTATCTTACCTTCTGGTGCTTTGGAAAATAGGTTGACTAGCCATACCCAACTCCTGAAACCATCTTCATATGTTTTAGTCTCTAGGCCCTTAATCTTCTTAGTTGTTCTTCTCTTCCTCACTTTTTCCACAGGCTCAACATCTTTTTTCTAATGTGGTGACCAAAATTGGATGCAGTATTCCAGGTGTGGTCTTGCTAAGGTTTTGTAAAGTAGTACTAATACTTCATGTGATTTTGATTCTAGGCCTCTGTTTATGCAACCAAGGATTGCATTCATTTTTTTTTGCTACTGCCACATACTCTTAGCCATTTAAGTGATCGTCCACTAGGACTCCAAGGTCCCTTTCACAGTTACTGTTTTTGAGCCAGGTTTCACTAATCTGTACTTATACTTTTCGTTTTTCCTGCCTAAGTGTAAAACCTTGCTTTTTTCTACATTAAATTTCATTTTGCTGGCTAGGACCCATTGTTTAAGTCTGTCAAGATCCTTTTGAATCCTGAGCTTGTCTTCTAGGGTGTTGACTAGCTTAGTTTCATCTGCAAATTTAATAAGTTTCCCTTCTATTCTGTCACCTGAGTCATTCATGAAGATATTGAACCACTATCAGTGTTTCCTAGATCTACTGGGATGGGTTAACTGATGATGTAGTAGGCAATCAAAAGTGGCATTCTTTAAATGGGTGAAATAAATAGTTCATTATTTTACAATTAAGAATGGATAAAAGTAAACATTTGTATCTATAAAGTTCCTATTGTGATAGTAAGCATATGAAGTCCCTATCATTTCTTGCATTCAGCAGTCCATCATTATACATCATTAACAATCCCTTTCAGCTAAGCTGTTACAAGGAAGAGTAAATGGGAGTACTATGCAGAGCAAATGGCCATTTGATGAACAAAAGAACTTAATGGAAATCCTTCTTGTAATGGGAATTTCTTTCTCTAGTGATGTTTCCTACTGAAGGACAATGGCAGAGGCAACTGACTTGATATTCCTTCAGAAAAACCACATTGTAAACATTTGGGAATTTGTGCATGTGCACATTTTTTAATGTCATTGCTTTTCTACTCATTTATTTGTTGGTCCTAAGTATTCACGTGAGAAGCCAAGATGCCTAGTAAATAACAGTATTCTACAGAGTCTCCCATTTCAAAGAGAAACAACATGCACTTTAGCCTTATAGTGTCGTCCATAAACATGTCAAGTTTTTCTCATGTAGGTCAATAGTGACAATTATTAGAAGTGGCACATATAAACACCAAAAGCAAGCAGCATTAATACATCTATTCACTAAGGAATCTGCACCCTTTCAGTAAAAATATCCCTTCAAATAAAAGTCATGTCTAAATTATAAAAAAGTAAATATCAGATATTCCATCCTTCTTGATGGGCAAAATTCCTAACTGACTGTAGATTCAATGGAAAGTTATAAGGACAAAATAAGAATCAGCCTGGCATTTCTATTAACTGTTTTTTTAAGACAGAGCTTAAAAAATACAATCCCAAAATGCACTTATGTGAATTGCAGTTAGAAAGCATTAAAGTTGCTCATTTTGGCCTGTATCATTGGGGATTTAGAGCAATGGCTTTCACTGTATGAGCTCTGTCATCTACTGAAGAACTATATTACGGTGTGCATCTTTTACATGATGCACAAATCTATGTGCAACGTTTTAGAATGGAATATGCCGGCTTTTGCTTTCTTCCATTATGTTCATATCAAAATATAGCTAAAAATTAAATACCATTAGAAACCTTTTACTTCCTCCTAGGGAGCAATTTAGCTGTTCTTGGGGCAAACACAGAAGACTCCATAGTAGCATTTCTAGTGATATAGTCATAGTTTATTCTTTGCATATAATCCCAACTCCAGAGAACAGAGTAAATATCCTGCAGATAAAGTACCTCCTTTTAAAAAGTATGTTATGTGACACAAGTTAGATTGCTTTTAAACTGGAAAAGTTGTATCCTAGGACTTTTAGAGATATAGTTTAGATTAAAGATTGCTATTCGAATATAATAATGCAGAGTCTAGTAGGAAACAATGCAGCCATCAGGTTCCACAGGAAATATGGTTGACCTAGTAAACCATTATACCATCACTATTGTGGACATCGGCTATGACATTCTTATATTCTCCTAGGGAAGAGTGAGACTTCTCAATCTGGAAATATAATAAGACATCATCTTATTTAATGCAAGTATAGTAAACACCTGAACTTAAAGTTGTTATTAGACTCCACAATCATTAGTTAGAGATTGCTCAAAGGGTAGGAATTCCACTCTAAGTGCATCTGGATAGCATTAAGTCTCAGACACTTTTAGAGAATATGAGATTGTTATAAGTACTCAGAATCTCGAACAGGACATTGTTTTAAAGAATCTAGTTAGGCCTGGTTTCCATTTTCCATTAAATATTATTGATAATATTAGCTTTGCATATAGTTTTCAAAGAAAGTTGTGGACTTATTTAAGCCACCTTGGATTTAGTATATATTTTCACACTTTAGGTATATAATAATAATAATAATAATAATAATAATAATAATAATAATAATAATAATAATAATAATAATAATAATAATAATAATAATTTAATTTGTACCACGCCCTTCTCCTCACCGGACTCAGGGCGGCTAACAGCCTTATAAAACCACAATACAATAAATATCCATTAAAACCAAATTAAAAGAAAATATTTGAAGCGGCCAATCGTTAAAATTACCCTTAAAATACCCTTAAAAACCCCACTAAAATTCCCTAGGCCAGACCCGCTTGTTGAAAAAGCCATGTCTTTAGGGCGCGG